TCACCAAGGTACGTGCATTACTTCATCCATGTGTGTACTACGTCATCAAAGTGTGTGTATTACGTCATCAAAGTATTGTACTACGTCATCAAGATATGTGTCTACGTCATCAAGGTATGTGTTCTACGTCATCAAGGTATGTGTTCAACATCATCAAGGTATGTGTACTACCTCACCAAGGTACGTGTACCAACTCACTAAGGCCATGTACTATGTCATCATGGTACGTGTACTACCTCACCAAGGTACGTGTACCATGTCATCAAGGTGTGTGTGTGTGTACTACGTACTACCTCACCAAGGTACATGCATTACTTCATCGATGTGTGTGTACTACGTCATCAAAGTATGTGTGTTACGTCATCAAGGTATGTGTACTATGTCATGAAGTTATGTGTACTGCATTATTGATGTAGTGCAATTGTTTGTGAGACTATATATTTGAGATGTTTAATACGTAGTCTGATGATGTGTCATTCCTTTTGTTCCGCAGACGCTGTACATCGCTCTGCCGACTGTTCTCGACAGCAATCCTTTCGCGGAGGACGAAAAACTGTCGGAAACTCCTGAAGCCGGAAGAATCTCCGACAAGCCGAGCAGCCAAACCGTAGACGCTATCACGTGAGTTGGTCTTTCTTCTGCTTCTGTCATCCTAAACTGAGGTGAAGCAACTGTCTAATTGTGCAGTGTGCTCTACTCTGTTATCTCACCTCAGACATCACTTAGGTCCTCCTGTGCCTACAAGCACATCGGGCAGCAATCTAGTGGCTGCTGCCTCCTCATCCTCTTCCCAGGTTATATTTCTTCCTTTTCAAATTTCCCTGAAAAGTTCTAAGAATCACCAGGTGTTTTTTGGCCGACCTCTCTTCCTTCTGCCATCTGGTCAGGCACACAGGTAATGGTGGTCTTTGAGTGGCGCTGGCTTGGTAGGCGTACGGGATATGACCTGCCAGTTGCATCCTCAATGCCTTTTCTACTCTATGCCAGGTGGGTTAACCAGGTGTGTTATTTCTGCAGGTACGTCCTCCAGTCCACCTGGTCCATCCTGCAGGACTGTCACCTGCACGACCAGATGACGTCACAGATGTTTGCCTACCTGTTCTTCTTCATGAACGCCTCGCTCTTCAACACGCTCATGGAGAGGGGTAAGGTGTCAGATTACACAGTCGGGTGTCATATTACACAGTCAAATGTCATATTACACAGTCAGGTGTCATATTACATCACTCTTCAACACGCTCATGGAGAGGGGTAAGGTGTCAGATTACACAGTCGGGTGTCATATTACACAGTCAAATGTCATATTACACAGTCAGGTGTCATATTACATCACTCTTCAACACGCTCATGGAGAGGGGTAAGGTGTCAGATTACACAGTCAGGTGTCAGATTACACAGTCAAGTGTCATATTACATCACTTCTCAATACGCTCATGGTCATGGAGAGGGGTAAGGTTCCAACACAGGTGTCATTTTACATAGTCATATTACGTTACTCTTCAACAAGCTCTTGAATTTTCTCGTCTGAAATGATTCAGATGATGTACGGCTCATTCTACGTTCTGCACCTTTGTTCTCAGGCGCTGGGGGGCGTTTCTACAAGTGGCAGAAAGGCGTGCAGATCCGGGGGAACCTGGACCAGCTGGAGGGCTGGGCGGCGGACACCGGGCTGGCCGAGGAGGCCGGCAAGTTCATGGCCAAACTGTCCGCAGCGGTGGACCTGCTGGCAACGCCAAAAGTTCACCTGCTGCAGGTGCAGTTCGCTTTTTCCTAGTATAGATTATCGTTGTTGTTGGTCATTTCCTTTCGGCTCACTGGACCGGACTCCCCAGCCCGGTGTTGATGTTGCTGTTTATGTTGTTGTTTATGTCATTGTTGATGTTTACAGTCTGACTGGGCGTCGTTACGGCGGGACTTCCCTGCGCTTAATGTGATGCAGCTTAATATTGCGGAAGTTGTTGTCGTTTTTGATGTTGATGTTTATGTTGTTGATGTTGATGTTTACAGTCGGACTGGGCGTCATTACGGCGGGACTTCCCTGCGCTGAACGCGGCACAGCTGCAGCAGGTGCTGGGGGAGTACCAGCTGTTGTTGTCGTTGTTTATGTCGTTCTTGTTGTTGTTTACAGTCTGACTGGGCGTCGTTACGTCGGGACTTCCCTGCGCTGAACGCGGCACAGCTGCAGCAGGTGCTGGGGGAATACCAGCTGTCGTTGTTGTCGTTGTTTATGTCGTTGTTGTTGATGTTTACAGTCTGACTGGGCGTCATTACGGCGGGACTTCCCTGCGCTGAACGCGGCACAGCTGCAGCAGGTGCTGGGGGAATACCAGCTGTCGTTGTTGTCGTTGTTTATGTTGTTGTTGTTGATGTTTACAGTCGGACTGGGCGTCGTTACGGCGGGACTTCCCTGCGCTGAACGCGGCACAGCTGCAGCAGGTGCTGGGGGAGTACCAGCTCGGCCCCGGCCGGCCCCGCCCCAGGGGATGGTTTCCCCCACCGGAGGAGGTGGAGTCCGCCCTGAAAACAGGTGGGGCCTGGTGTTAGGCAAAATCCTTGAGCTGCGATATATGTGCATGAGAGGTCAGGTGTTTAGGACTAGGGTTAGGGTTGGTATTAGAGTAACTAGTAGTGTTAGAGTTAGGGCTGGGATCAGTGTTCAGGGCTTAAATTAGAGTTATGGGTAAGGGTAAGGGCTAGGGCTAGGGTTAGGGTTAGGGTTAGGGTTAGGGTTAGGGTTAGGGTTAGGGTTAGGGTTAAGGGCTAGGGCTAGGGCTAGGGTTAGGGTTAGGGCTAGGGTTAGGGTTAGGGTTAGGGTTAGGGTTAGGGTTAGGGTTAGGGTTAGGGTTAGGGTTAGGGTTAGGGTTAGGGGCTAGGGCTAGGGTTAGGGTTAGGGCTAGGGTTAGGTTTGGGATTAGTCTGACTGAACCTCGCTTTTCGCTGGCTCCCTAGTTAGTCCGCCACCCAAGGTTTCCGCCACCCAACCTTGGGTAGCAGACTATGTAGGGTGCCCCCGGGAGCTTGGGTTTCACAGACTAGGGTTGGGATCATTGTTCAGGGCTACGGTTAGGGTTAGAGTTAGGGTTTAATAGGATCATTGTACAGGGCTACAGATATTTACCTTATCATAATGTCCTTCCAGCGGATATCCTGGAAAGCTTCAACAACCACCCGCCGCTGGTCCTGCCGATCTCCGGCTTCCAACTGGACCTGGCCGCACCGCCCTCTCAACCGTCCTTCCGACAGTACCACGACGCCGTCTTGCGGCTGTTTGGGGAACTGCAGGCGACCAAAGCGGTGCCGAACGTTCAGCAGAAACCGGCGGTGGCGGACCCGGGGCTGCAGATCCTGGTGAGCCACCAGGAGGCGCTTCTCAAGCCCAGTGCCACCTCCACTCCGCTCAAAGTATCGTCTGTCGATCCTCCCGGTACTCAGGTATGAAAGACATCCGACGCCATTTCAGAGCGGTAAAACATTAGATAATTCTGGATGTGGAAATCCTTCTGATCTTTTCGTCATCATTGCAGATTTAAAGCGTTTAGACTAGCCCAAAACAAGCTACGTGAGGCGTCTTTTACTTTTTGGGTACGGCCCATAAATAGCTAAATTTGTGACCCCAGGGCACGTTCACGGCACTAGCGGTGTACATGTTTGTTTGTTTGTTTGTTTGTTTGTTTACTGTTATTTGTTACCCCAGGGCACGTTCACGGCACGAGCGGTGTACATCAGTGATGACGACTCCCTACACGAAGGCGTTGCCGGCGGCGACCTCAGCGGCGTCAAGGAGGATCCACAGAATTACGTGGAGGTTTATATATATAGTAGTACAGTAAACTATAGCGTAGTAGTATTAGTAATAGGAGTAGTACAGTAGTAGTAGTTACTTGTGAATGAATGAGTGAATGAATAATTGTAGTAGTTACTGTAGTAGAGTGGTACATGTGTACATTTCTCTAAAACTACAGGCTAAGTTTTAAATAATACTAATTATACATTGCATTTATCAAATAAGCATTAACGTTATAATTTTACAGTATTTAAAGCATTATATCAGGTGTAAGATATCTGAAATGTAGTCACGTCACAAACTTGATATTTCTGTCTAGGTAAACGAAGACGTTGAAGTGACGCTATCGTCCAGCGGTCTGCGCGTTCTGCCGGTCAGCGAAGCGACGTCCCTGGCGACCATCGCCGAGCATGACGTCACGCAGCCGAACGGGGCGCGGCCGGAAGGAATCGTGGACGAAACTCCGCGTGGGAAACGTAAACCTTCTTTCCTGTTTTATTTTTCGTTCCTTAGTTTCTTGAAAGATATGCATCATATTACATATACTTGGGGCGTGTAGGGAATTAGACTTTAAGACCAATTGGGACTTGGGATCTTGGCATAAACAAAGTTAATTAGTATTGAATTATTTGACGCTAAAATTCTGTCATTCTCAATATTTACCCCTGGCTCTCTAACTCTTTTGGTAAAATTTCCTTGGAGGAATATTGGCCCTGGAGCCAAGGAGTAATCAGAATACATATAAAACATCTGGCAGTCATAAAAAATATGTCCAGTGAAAAAAAATGCTTGAGCAACTGTTTCCTGTGTAAAACACTCACCATCTACATGCATGACATTATATTAACATAATTGATAAAAATTATATACTTCACCTTCCAGCTGATGACGAGAGTTCCGGAAATCAGAACGGCTCTTCCCGGAAGTCCTCCGTGGTGGGGTTACTGGAGGGCATCCGGCGGGAGGATGACGGGCAGGATGAGGTTTTTGTGGTGGATCTGGGGAGAGGTCCGACCGGGCTGGGGCTCGGGCTTATAGATGGGCTGGTGAGGAACGCGTTTGTTTGTTTGTTTGTTTGTTTGTTTGTTTGTAACAGCGTGAGGATGGCAGACAGGATGAGGTGTTTGTGGTGGATCTGGGGCGCGGTCCCACTGGGCTGGGGCTGGGGCTTATAGATGGGCTGGTGAGGAACACGTGTTTGTTTGTTTGTTTGTTTGTTTGTAACGGCGTGAGGATGACGGTCAGGGTGAGGTGTTTGTGGTGGATCTGGGGCGCGGTCCCACCGGGCTGGGGCTCGGGCTTATAGATGGGCTGGTGAGGAACACGTTTGTTTGTTTGTTTGTAACGTCATTTTTATTTTCCAGTACACTCCGCTCAAGTCTCCTGGAATCTACGTCAGAACACTGGTGCCGAACGGACCTGCGCACAAGGTCAGAAAATCTAGTAATAACTCTTTCTTTCTCACTGTACAACATAAGAACAGCACTTAGCATTTAGTAAATTCAATTTGATGGTTTCTGTGAACTACATTGCAAATGAGAATTTCTTTATACAATCAGCCCTTTCACCGTATAAAAATGTATTTCAGATCTGCGTTTTTTACTAGCAGATTGATTGATATATTGATATATTGATTGATTGATTGCTGTTGTGTTCAGGACGGCCGGCTGAGACTCGGGGACCGGATCCTGGCAGTGAACGGCACCAGTCTGGTGGGAGCAGACTACCAGAGGTGAGGGCCGACGCTGTATTTCTTTTACTTCATATTCAACACAAAACAGTAGACTTATAAGAGCCACTTAAATGTTTGGACTTATTGTACTAGACAGTGAGGACAGATGTTTGTTGACTGACTTGAATGTTGGGTGGCACTTGCGTACATAATACATACACACGCATATACATACATGTACACACAAACACGCACGCACAAACACGCACACACACGCGCACGCACGCACGCACGCAGGGGCACACACACAAACACGCACACACACACACGCACGCACGCACGCAGGCGCACACACACACACGCACACACACACGCACGCACGCAGGCACACACACACGCGCGCGCACACACACACACATTACACACACACACACACACACACACATACACAGACACACACGCACACACACAGAATGGCATGACCATGATCTTCAGTGCTAATATTATATGTTGCGTTTCTGCAGGGCGATGCTGCTGATCCGTAACGCCGGCGAGCAGCTGAGGTTCCTGGTGGCGAAATCCGACAGCTCCGTGGCCATGAAGATCACGGCCTCAAGCTGCTGATTATGAGGGGGTCTGGACTATCCAGAATTGTTCCTGGTCAAGGTTCTGGATAGGCGCGGACAATCCAGAACTGGTCATGGTCATGGTTCTGGATAAAGCAGCGTCGGTTCTGGATATGCTTGGATGGGCTATCCTGAACTCAGTGCCTGCTCAGCTTCGGGATAAAGTACGGTTCTGGATCATGATCCAGCAGAACAGTATCCAGAACTGTGCCTGATCATGATTCTGGATAAAGCACGGTTCAAGATAAGCGTGGACTTACTAGAATCCAGAGCTGTGCCTGGTTCTGGATTAAGCACGGTTCTGGCCGGATTCACAGATCTCAGCCACATGCATGAAGAAGTTCGGGCAGTCTTCCCAAACAACCTCACACTGACTTTCATGTGAGGTTAATTTACTCGTGCCATGTGCCAAATATCCTCTCACACTTGTATTTTCCCAGTGTTTTTATGCCACATAATGAGCCACACGGTAAAACGGAGAACTGCTCTAACGGAGCATCCATGTTGCAAAGCTGTAAATAAGTAATTATGTAACTTTTACTGTTTCCTGTTTATGATTCCTACGAAAAGCCACCTGAAAGCTGCAGGGCAGCACTTTATGTTGTGTCCAAAAATAACTGGAACAATTACTGTGACAATATTCGCAGTCGACATGCTATTGCTGTGGTCAAAATGGCGTCGATAGCATAATGAAACAACATAAACGTGATTAAGTAATTATGGTACACACAGAACTGCACCCTTTGTGTAGTCTACAACTAGACTAGGATATATGTAAAATTATCTTGCACCGTTTTCTTGGCAAAATGTGTGAAAAAAATGTTTATAATTAATGTACGTTTGTGATGTGACCTGTACATACACAATTGGAAGCAACTGTACAGTGACGTAGCGATAGAAGAGTTGATGTATCGTTTTAGTACCGGCATGTGACAGGTTGTAGCGATATTGTGACAAAATGTCATCACTGTGGCCATCCGTCCTAACCTTGACTTTGAGAACTTTATTTGTTGCCAATGAGATCACTGATGTAAACTTGAGATTTTGTTTTCCCAGAGGTTTATACAAAGTCCTGCTGAAGAATTTTGTAAGGAGTAAATATTTATTGTTTCCACGGAGAAATGTGTGTGGCTGTGAGCCGGTTTTTGTTCTTCTGTCTGTACTTTTGTTAATATTATATTATATACCATGTTAAGTGTTACGTTGTACATCTTGTTTGTTTGTTTCGCATAACTGGTAAACCGCCTTTAGGTGGTCAACATGCCGAAAATGGGCAAAGATGTCCGTTGCCATGCGGGAAGGTGGATGGCAGATGAAGAGAGGAGACAAGAAAATGCTCTGATTTAATGTTTTGTTTTTTACTTCTTACTGAATTAAATGTCCATATTTGGCAAGCGAAGAAGATCTCTCATCCCTCGGCAGCCGGTAAAAAATTAGTGCATTGCGGTGGGGACGCCTGGCGATTTAGTGGTGAAGTACAGGATGGCAAAAGATGCACACCTGTGACGTTTGACCCGCAGGTAAAGACAGGCGATCACCATGGCGGCAACCCGGAAGTGAAATGGCATGACCTCTGCTGGCGGCTTTCGGGTGGTTTTATGGACGTGGTTTTATTGCTCTTTGATTGCTGAGATTCTTCCAGTGGACACTGAAGCACAGGCCGACAACAGGCCTTCTTGCTTGGGATTGTTTTAACGGGTTTTAACAGGCGCTACGGGATCAGATAACTGCAAAAAGGTAAGCATTTGTCTTTTCTGGGAGGGGTCCGCCGTGTACATGTAAATATAAGCATCGCTACGCAACTCAGACCACAACAGAGGTAATCATTCGAAAACCGGTTTACAAAATAACGAAATATTACCTCTTCACTTCGATATTATGCGTATGATGTCTCCTTTACTTTCCAATCCCAGCCCGTTTGTGAATTTATCACTGGACGGCATATATGGCTGTTGATAATAAATACTCTATTGACTGTCATGGTACATGTAATCTAATGGCGTGTTGGGTATTTGGGACCCTATGTTTTCAAAGGAAGCACATCATGTACAATTAGAATCAGGCCTCTGTGCCACATATAATCTATAGGTTTTTTTTCTATTTCCATGGGGCTTGGTAAGAGCCACTGGCATCGTTATCAGAAAGCCCTTATATATAATTATCAGACAACACAAATGTAGTTAAAACACTTCCTCGCAAAATGGCATCGCCGTTAGCTGCCGGGATCCCGTGTTTCTTAATTACTGAGAAAGCCCTATCATTGTCAGACAACACAAAAACACTGCCTCTCTCGCACGGTGGCGCTAGTCTGTCCTGGAGGGGGCCAGCAGGGTTTTCACATTCATTCCTCTGGCCTCAGGGCTTCATTCTGTGTCAAGGAAGAGACACAGCGGGACACAAGGTGATTTTTGTTTTCTATCTTTTTTCTCTTTAAAAATCTATGCCCAAATGCATCCAATGATGATGTGACGTTACCCCATGTGCAACCAGCTTTTCGAACACAAGATTTTCTTGATCAAGACCCGGTCACATCCAGTATAGCAAACCGAGGGCAGCCATGCGTGTCTGCAAACAGTCTTGTTACGGTTGTCTTAGTCAGCGGTTGGTTGGGCTACAGCCTGTTTAAACATTCTACGGCATGAAATTTAAAATCGCATGACGACCTTTAATAGCCAAGCTGAATATAACATCCCCATGACTATGGCTATATGTGTATATCATTACGTCATGCCGGGATCACTGTACTGTGATATTTCGTGTGAGGCTGCGAAGCCGCTAATTACGTCAGTATTGATCGAGGGAAGATTTTCTTGTGAACCGTACCAGGTCACAGTCACGCATGGATAACGTTATTATGTGTTTTTGCATGGAAGCACTGGCCCCAAAATGGCTCAGAACAAGGAGCGTGTATATCAGAATTAAGAAACACTAAAGAGGATTGCTGGAGGTATTCATACGATTCTAATCAAAATTCTTACAAAAAGCTTGAAATCTAATTATATGTCAAAGATAAACATTACAAGAAGAGCACAGGCAGGCAGTTGCCCGTTAGTGCTTTGTGCTGAGCCAAAGCCCAGACGTCCCTTTTGTTATGCCGAATCATTCATGAAACCACAGTAGAAGCGTAGCGAGCGCTACGTGATGAGAATATTTACGTAGTAACGTTTTGTTATTCATGCTGGTCATGTCGTAGGTGATTGTCTGGAGGACCCCAATTATAACTATCATTTAAGAAGCTCAAAACGTGAAATATGCCACCAGGTTATTTGTTTTCTTTCAGAAGACACAGCTAGGGTCATGCCTAGTGGCCCTTATAACGCTAAATCTGTTTGCTTCCTAAGCATCCAGCTCCTTTGTGTACAGAGCGTCACTAAATACCCGACAAAAGACTCTAATCACGGTCTTTGGGAAGCGGCTGGACAGCGGAAATTGGACAAACTGACGGATGATTATTAGTGTGTAATGTGTCCCTCCTAGATGGAGAGCCAGCTTGTTGTAGATCGGCTGACGGAAGCCGTGGAGGTTCTGAGGCAGGTGGAGTCCAACCTGCGCACCAGCAGCGACGAGGTCTGGCACAAGAGACGCCCGGACGGCAGAAAGGTGGGATTCCTCCCTACCTCTCTCCCTTCCTTCCTTCCTTTTCTTCCTTCCTTCCTTCCTTCCTCCCTCCCTCTCTCCCTCCCTTCCTTTTCTTCCTTCCTTCCCTCCTTCCTTCCTTCCCTTCCATCTGTCCGTCCGTTCATTCATTCATTCAAAACACGATTCCGGATACACCCCCCCCCCTCTGTTGGTAGCTTGCGGGGTCTAGTGGTTAGTAACTACCCTACCTCTTAACCAAGTGGTTCGGAGTTCAAATCCCAACCTCTCTGTCAAAATCACTTTCCTTCCCGCAGGTGCGAGTTCTGATCCGAGCCTCCATCATCTCCCTGGGTGAGATCGACACGGTGAAGCAGGAGTTCTCGGCAGACGTCTGGCTCGCGGCCTGGTACAAGGAGCCACTACTCAAGGGGAAGAAACACAGGGAGGTGCGTAGGAAAAAAAGCAAAAGTGATCTCTAAGTGATCTCGATCCAGTTTTGCTCTCTTAAAGACTAGAAGTCGGCAAAAATCGTCGCTCGGTACATAGAGCCGCTAGTCAAGGGCAAGAAACACAGAGAAGGGCGTAGGAAAAGTGGAAGTTTGTTTTGTTGCATGCTGTATGATATTTTTTCTATGTAACTTACGCCAAGGAGATTTTTACACCGATCAACCTGTCGCACCCAATCTTTCCATATGCATTTTTATAGCAAGATTTGTTTAAAGCTTTCTAGTGATGCTGCCACAAAGTTCTATGGTGGCAACGAGTTCCACCCACCACCATCATAGTTCTGGGGAAATATAAGATTTGAACACCTCAGTTCAAAACACCTCAGTATCTGCCTGGTCAGTACAAAATAAGTAAATAATAACAAAAACAACCCGCCTCCCCAGGAGGTAGACTGGGACGACCAGTGGCACCCGCGGATCGTGCTGTTTAACGCCGTGTCTGTGGACAAACACGAGAAGAAGCATCACCTGATCCTGGAGGAGGGAGATGACGTGCCCATCGTGCAGCAGAGCAACAGGATCAGGGCAACCTTCAAGGAGCAGATGGAACTATTCGACTTCCCGTTCGACAATCAGGTAAAGCATAGTATTTTTCTTCGGTACAACATAGTATGATCATTATGGCCAAAAGGGCTAAATGTTCTTGCCAACACTGAGTAAATTGGGACTTACCCAAATTTTAGGCCGCCTTGTTCACGGAATGGACCCTTCTACTGCAGCTTCCGTGAACAAGGCAGACGGAGTAGGCCGAAAATTTAGGTAAGTCCCATTTTACTCAGTGTTGGCAAGAACATTTAGCCCCTTTTAGTCATAATGAAGTATACCAACACAGATAAACTTTCATGCTATTAAATATAGTATGATCTTTCGGGGTCGACCGCAAACCAACCAACTTCCCGTGTTGCTGCCACTGGGTGTTATTCAAACCTGATATTTCGGCACAGGAAAGCCCACTTTTTATCATAAGTAATTGCATGTCTCTTATTGGCTATCCTGTGATAAGGGGAACTCATATGAGGACGAGGCCACCAGTTTTAAAGCTCTTGTCATTTTGGCAAATGTTCTTCTTTGTACAGTGTACAGACTCATTGAGCATAACTAAAACACGACTGCGACATGAGCCTAGGAAAGTTTGCGTTCTTCCGGAAAGTCCATCTGTTTTGGTAGTTATGTCTTAAATCTTTAATGTAAACCGAGAGATTCCTGGTCTTCCTCAGTAGACTGACCCAGTGAGACTTGTCACGTGGCTTCGTTAACCTGTGACGTCACCATGTTAAAATGTATTCCTCTGCACAGGAGCTGACGATCCAGCTGATGTCTGACTGGCCCATCGGGCAGGTGGAGTTCGCCAAGAACATGGGGATCAAGGACACCATCAGAACTGACACATTTACTGGTAAGTAAGCAATGATAGTATCCAGACATCTGGTCGCAAAATCGGCAGATTGAGGTTTACCGTTCCAAGATTTCAAATGAAAGAGCAGAAAATCCGTATTGAGACGACATAGAAATATTTTCTCTAGTTTTTCTGGCTCATAAATTATATAATATTTCGAGAGATAGGGAGGAAAAAAAGGAAACGTTCTGCTCTAATATAGGCCGCCGTCTCTGCTTTTATTTCAAAGTCAGATTGAGAATCGATACTTTTATCCCCTTCTGAAGATACTGAGTGTTCCGGAGATTTCATATGAATGCGTTGCGAGAGCTTACAGAGCCTGATCCCTGTTTTCCTCAGGTTCGCAGGAATGGGAGTTGTTCGGACATCTCCTCTGTAAGCCCAGCATCACCAACCAGGACCAGTCCACATCTCACTACAGGTACCCCCTCTACAACATCACCGCGCACGTGCAGAGGAAGATGGGCTTCTACGTGTGGAACATCGCCTTCATCATGGTGAGTCTGACCTTGGGTTTCTAGACCTTGACCTTGAGTTGTTCGATGTAGTAATCAAAAAGCCAGGAGATGTTGAATTAAGCTTATGTCACCTAAATGTAGCTTGTATTCAATCTAAAGCAGGATCTGAACTAATACACACAACTAACTACACACGCCAGTTTACTGTCCGCATACTTGTGTGGCCCAAGGGCTACATGAACGGAGATGGGCGCCGCCATATACACCTTGGAGGACTTTATGAAACGCCAAAAAGCAGTTACTCAAGCAACTGGATATGATTTTGGAAACGGTCAGACGTTTTAGCTAGTATATATCCACTACCTTTTGCCAGTGACGGAGAGACTAGAGGAGAAATGCAGGTTTATAAGCGCAAACTATTGATTGATATGCACATAACTTTATTTTCCAGTTCCTGATCATGGCGCTGTCCTTCACGGCGTTCTCGGTGCCGCCGAACGAGCCGGCGGACCGTCTGGGCGTCACGCTTACCCTGCTCCTCACGTCCGTGGCGTTCAAGTTCGTGGTGACGCAGAGTCTCCCCACCATCTCCTACCTCACACTGCTGGTAAGATGGTATCTGTATTTCTGTAGGTAGGGGGGGGGGGCGATATAGACTTCCAACAACCTTTGACACATTGCTTGAGTTTCGGTTAGAGCGCTAAAAGGTAGTGGAAGGGATGGGATGGGCTCCTCCTTTCAGGCGGTCCTGGCTTGGCTGTTTTTTTTCGGGGAGGGGGTGATTTTCTGATCAAACGTAGATCGCACGCAATAGAAGCTCCGGACAGCAACCCTACATAGCTCTCCGTGGAACGACCGATCCCGGAACGCCTGAAAAGGAGGCTACCATTTTCCCATTCTTTGTACCAGATACAGTGCACAAACAACCGCCGAACAAGGCAACAGTACTACCGATATCTTTACCTTTGCACACAGGACAAGTACGTGCTGTTGTGTATGATCTTCCAATGCCTGATGGCGGTCCAGAACGCGCTGGCCTCCATCGTGTCCAACGCCTGGCTGTTCGACCTGGTCTCCATGGCCGTCCTGGCCGGAATCGTCTTCTTCACTCACCTGGTCTTCGGCGTTCTCATGTTCGTCAAGGTAGTTAGGTCTTTGGATTCCTAACTAGTAATCTATGGGTCAGTCGGACCCCTAATTTCAGATATAGGTGGGCGAATTCTGGCGATTTTTAAATTACGTCAAGTAAATGTTCTGTGGTGTGTAAGAATTGATGTGATGGTTATTTTTAAAACGTTCTACCTTTTCTGTTTACTTCAGATACGAAGCACGAACAAGCAGCTAAGACAGGCGGATAAGGAGTACTTGGTAAGACAGTTACAGTGTCTTAAAGATGGATTTCCTGATATAACTATAGAGGAAGTGCTGACTATTGAGTCATTGTGAAGACAGCAAAAACAAACTTTTAAAGGGTCAAGTGTACGTCATAGATAATCTATATTGTAGGAGGAGGTAAATCAATATGTTGTATCATCACAAATATGTTATATGCTAATGATGAAACAATTGGTGCTAATAAAGTAGGAAACGTTATATAGAATTCAGAAAAGTAATTGTAAAGTTCCATGTTTGTGTGAATCATAACATTTTTTCCTTGAACATCGACCAGGAACTGTGTGAGAACATTGACCGGTTCTACCAGAGGACAAAGTGCACCATATCGGGTTTCACCGATGAGGAAGTCGAGGCGATCGTAGGTCCGGCCAAACCGGCGGGTATAGACAACTCCAAGCAGATGGGGATAGACGAAACGCAAACGGTGAGAGTCCGGGTTTCCTCAAAGGTGGGTCTTTAAGGGAATAAGCCTCCATTTTCTTTTGCTAAAGGTTTCCGAAAAGTTGTCTATGAATGACTTATAGAACTGAACAATAGCTTAGAATTGTCTGAACACTATTCTCCTCTATCCATCTACATATATCACGTTCTAAAGCACGTCCTATGTATCAAACTTTCCTCTTTTCAATAACATTTCTTTAACTCTATGAAAGAAAATGTAAACGTCTTGACCTGTCATGTCTTGGTGATTATGTCTATTGCTCGGCTGTTCTTGACTCTTTCTCTCCACGTCTCTCTATCCTCCATAGCCCTAGGATGGTCCTCTACTTCACTGCACCCTTCCTCACACAGTTAAATAATGTAAGTACGTAGTACAGTGTCCTCCTATGGTTGGCTGACCGTGCCTTCGGTATTCAGTAGCACCTACGTACTGCACGATCGCTCATTGATGGTCAGTGTCTAAATTATAATCTTTTTCCTCTTAAGCGAAACATCGATGACAGAAGTATCTTATTGCATATTTTCTCCACTTCCTGTTTTCAGGTAACGCCGCCTGCTGACTTGCCGGGTTCAGTCCCAGACGTACAACCCAGTAGGAACAACAAGTATCATGTCTGACCGATCGGACAAGGCTGCTCTCATAATATATTATAACATCTTCTCAACACACATAGGATATGTATCCAAACGCAGCAGACACTGATTGTACATCGTCCCTACAGTTGGTACCAAAAGGAGTTGAGAACTCCTTTGAAAATGCCGCATGAACCTCTAATGACGTAAAAAAAGTCCAAAACCGACAGTTCTGCTTATTTCTGGATGTGGAAAACATTCGGGGGTTACTGAGTGTCAGAGTTTGTCGTGGTGCAGTTTTGCATGGCAGACGAGTCAAGATCATTCGGTTCAATGAGTGAAATAATTACGGGGCGACCTCAAACATCCTTCTTCGGAAAAGACCCTGACAGCTTAATTGTTACAAGCTGAAAACCCTAAATTAGTCTTAAGAATCAAGGCCCAACTTAAGGAGGTAGTGAGCCCCTTCTTGCTTTCGCCCCTGGTATGTCTCCTGATGGGCAGATGACGACAAGTCATACGAAGAAAACGCCATACCGTTTTAACCTTACCATTTAGACGGATAGACCTGTCACCAGATAACAATTGTCGGTGACAAATGGATGTTCTTGCTTGGTTAAACATCGCACTTTGAGGCTTGCGGCGGCAGACAATGGGGTACAATGAACTCTCCTAGCCTGGGTAACCAGACCGCCGTGAGCTCAGCGCTATTTCTTCGGCGCCGAGAGCGTTTCGGATCGGCCTCGGCTAATTCTTGGCGTTTTAATAATAAATCTGGTTCTCTTTTTTTACTGATACATTTTTAAGTCAAGCTAACATTTACTTTGGTAAATTGCTGGTCCTTTTGATACTGTTTTTGCAGCCACCAACATATCTGCTTGGAGATTGGGCACAGGGCCACACCACAGTGGCCGCATATAACTCTGTCGTTTGTTGAATCTTATACGGATTTGAACATTTCTGAAAAACTGATAAAT